CTCAGGCATACATCTGTCTTGACCTCTCTAAACTAGAATTACAAGGCAGCACCATTGTGTCTGAACTTTTCCTTCCCAACCCGCATGTAAATTTCTGGATCTAAAGCTCAGGTCTTTAGCTTGAGAAGATGGTACTTAACTAAATGAGGTCTCTATAATTCGTATTTTTGTATGTTTCCTGTTAGCAATGTAAACTCAGAGGTATGTTTTGTTTATTTGTTTTGGTTTGTTCTGTGATTTATCCCTGATGATGTAGTGCTTACTGTGGTATCAAAAATGATTTTAGTAAAAGAAAACCTCAGTAAATGTCTGTAAATTTACTCAATATTTTAATTATAATTAAGTAATAATATTTCATTCCTTCATTGATGGAGCAGTTTTTATCAGTAGAAAGAAAATTTAATCTCCAAAGGCCAAATTTTAAGCTCAAGTATAGATCATTCCCATGGATATCATTGGTTTGTAAATGAACAAAATCCACATATTGTTTGTGGTTCTCAGTTTCCTCATTTTCTGTTCTCTCCATTACTTTACAATGATGGGGAAGTAAAAGTGGTTTATCTGGAAGGAAAAAAAATAAATGTAAGTCCTGAGCTTTCATACATATATTTAAATATGAATATATTTAGATAGTCTTCCTTTTTTTTTCTTTTGTGTTCAGTTAAAATCAAATAATCAGTCAGCTGTCCAGATATGAGTATGGCTTATCTATCCAAGAGTTTAGAAGGCAATTCATCTGAAGTTTTTAAACTACATCTGAGTTTCTTGAAATGGGGCAGATGTTTGGTTCATTTAGTTATAGCCTAAAGAGAAGAATACTAGTTAGCAGATATGTACATGGGGAACTCTAAGCAGACAGATAGTACTAAAGGATGTGTGGAATTTAGGGCAGATATGGTGGTGAGAGGAAGGTGGATGTTTCCAGCTCTTCATAAGAATTCCCCTGCCCAAATAACTATGATTTTCATAACCCCCCCCCCTTTTCTCAGGGTTTATAGCATTGGACTTCTAAATAGATTCTCTATTTGCCTGTTTGTCTCAAAGACTTGTGGAAGATTTCACTGTGTGCACAATTGAGAAGAAGTGCATGTTTTGTATATGTAGATAGAGACTGTGTGAAAATTAAAGATGTCCTTGAACAATAAAGTCTTATTTGTGTAAAAGTTCTACATATTAGTAACCATAACCAGAAATTTGAAATGGCTTTAGAATTGTTGTTTTGTTTGGTTTGAGGCAGCATCTCTTGTAGCTCAGCCTGTCCTGTGACTTGTTATGTGACCAAATGCAATGTTAAACTTCAAATCCTCTTTGCTCCATATCCCTAGTGCTGAGATTGCAGGCCTTCACCACTATACCTGGTTTATGTGTATGGTGCCAGGAATCTAACCCAGAGCATCTTGCATGCTAAGGAAGTACTCAGTTCCAATTGTGCTATAAGCTCAGCCTTAACAGTGGAATCTTAAATCAGTAATATTTTTATTTTAGGTGTCTAACATGTGTCAGGCTAAAAGAAGATATCCATTGCCATGGGAAGCCATGTCTGGTGCCTTCAGAATGATACTATCCAGGGCCTCCATATCTGTGTTGGTTCTTATTTGGGTTATGTTATCATTTTCTGAGTAGTAGCTATAAGCTACTAAGCTATGTATAATCATTAAAGACAACAGAAAGACAATAATGTAATCCAGACCTCAAGCTAATTGTTCTTTCCCCACCCTATGTCTCAATGAATGCTTTTCATGAGTCACTGCAGTAAGGTCTTGACATACTCATTTGCCCTTAAGTCTATGAACTTGAAAGTTCATGACTTCTCTTAGAGAATGAGGTGACTTTGCTTCTGGCATTGTTGTGAGGAAAAAAAATATCAATGGAGACTATATCAGGATCCCTTTTATATAAGCTTATATTCTATTTAACCTTATTTTCAGCTCTCTTTACTATCTTCCAAAAGGAACACAGGTTTGGCTAATCGTGGCCCTTACTGTGTTATTTTGTTTGGATAATTTCCAAAGGCTATCATTCAATCAACATATATACAACATATATATGAAATTGTGATGTGTGTGTTGTGTGTGTAGTGTGTGTGTGTGTTGCTGCTGTTATTGTTGTTTAAAAAACTGATTTGATTTTAATATTCTCTTATAGTATGGGTTTGAATATTAATTTAATTTTAATTTTTTTTAAAAAAAAGACCAAAAGTAAGTAATGTTAGGTGACTAAGATGATGAGGAAGAACAGATCCAGGAGAAAAGACACATAGATGATGAAAGAGAATATAAAGATTTTCTTCCAGTTTTGACTTCAATGTAATTTGTTTCTGTTTTACAATGGATATGTGAATTCATCTCTTTGTGTATAAGTAGACCATGTTGGCATTCAAAAAGTATCTAAATTCTGTTATTCCTCTGAAGTAGTGGTTTCAGGTGTGTTTTAAATTCCATTGTTAGTACAATAGCACTCAAAAATGACTAGTCACTAAAAACGCAATATGGCACTCACCAACTTAAAGTGGCATTTTAAAAACATTTTTGAAGTAATGAATTTTATAAACTGAAAATTTTCTCTTATTCTGCCAAAATCCATATCAAATCTTTCCATCATACATTACTATACCATAAATCTGCTATCAATTTGAGTTATGTCCCTGATTCTCAATGGTGTCATTCATCAGTCTTTAATTATGTTCTTTTAATAAAAATATATTTTGATGTACACATCCATATGTGTACAGAAGTATGTATTTAAAGCATATAGGAACTTGAAAAAGATAAAGTAGGAAAGGGAAAATGTAATCTAGAAAGTATGGAAAAGAGAGGGGTTCAGTGGGTGGGGAACAGAAACTTTATGTGTACAAATACACACACACACACACACACACACCACTGTGAGCTCCTCTTTAGCCTTTCAGCTTGCACTCCTGACTTATGAAACATCTTGTCTTCCAGATGGAGCCCCATTCACCTGGTGGATTGGAAGGTCCGATGAAAGGCACCCTTACTGGGGAGGTTCAGTTCCTGGAGTCCAGCAATGTGGATGTGGCCTGGAGGAGAGCTGTTTGGACAGTCGACATTTTTGCAATTGTGATGCAGACACAGATGAATGGTAAGGGGAACTTCAGTTTTCCTACAGTGGTAAGAAATATTAACTGATGCTCAGAATTACAACTCAGAAAGAAAAATGCAGATACCAAATTCAATGGGAATTAAGCCTACATAAAAAAATAAAAAAGAAAAGAAAAAGAAAAAAAGAAAAAAAATTGAAAATTAAAAGGCCTGGGAACCTGAAAGATGGCTCACCAATTAAGAGAAAAGGATGCTCTCCCATAGGACCTGACTTGGCTTCTCAGCTCCTATATGTTGGCTGAAATTGTCCTTAATTACAAAAGATCTAATGCCCTCTAATAGACTTGGTGTGCATATGACTCACTTACATAAGAGCAATATACTCACATGCTGTAAATAAAAATTAAAAACATGTGGAAACTCTGCTCATCCATGTTGAAGAGTAATACTGAGGTTTGTGCCATATTCTCTTTGTATTCTGAACTTTCTGTTGTAAGTAAGGAATGCAATGTAATATGAGCTTACCATTTAGTTAGTCTTTTTTTCTGTCCACCCTTCATATGTGTGTGTCTGTGTGTGTGTGTGTGAGTGAGTGTTTGTGTGTGTAGATGCTCTTGTGTTTGTGAGTGTCCATGCATGTGTGTATGCATGTCTGTAGAATCCAGAAAACAACTTTCATTGTCACTCCTCAGATTCTACCTGCCTTGATTTTTGAAACATGATATCCCTGTGGCTCAGAACTCACTAAGTAGGCATGGCTGGCTGGTTAGATTTGCCTGTCCTTGCCTCACCAGTGCTGAGATTATAAGCCTTTATAATCACACCCAGCATTTTTAGTGTGGGTTCTAGGGATCAATTGACGTCCTCCCTGTTTAAGGAAAGCACTTTGCTACCAAACCATCTCTATAAATTCTGTGTTAGGTTTTGAAACATGCTTGTTGTGAGGTGCGAGGAGAGATGGGAGTATAGTTATATGAATCTTTTTTTCTTCCACTGATGTTTAGTGTCTTTACCACCATTTAGTGACTCTAACACCAAATTAATTTTTTTATTCTATTTGCTGATTTTCAGTTACTGATCATATAATTCTCAGAACAATCTTGATCTTCTATAAAAGTACATGCTTGGAGGTTGAAAAATGCCAATAACAGAAGAGTAAAATGATTGTTTTCAATATTATACACATTTGTCAAATGGCAAGACCTGAACTAAAACCTAAGTTGATGGATATGGACACCATCTCTAGTGCTCTCCTACACCAGTTCAGTCCTGTAAGATGATGTCTAAGGTCTTATGTCTGTTAGGTCTATATTATCTCCAACCTCCAGGAAAACTTTTCCGTTTTCACCATATTAGTTATGAAAATGTTTGCACAGCATGTCCACTCAGCTTTCAGGTTTCAGCTGGATTTCAGGTAGTCAAATAATTTAGCTTTTGCAGTGTTTCTGTCTCTTCTCATCAAACAATTCTCAATTATAAAAAAGAATCCCTATCAATCTTCTCTTAGACAAGTTACAATTTCTTTGGGGTATAGTATTTTCTTTCATTGTTCAAATTGTTACTTTGAACCAGTAACCAGTTCAAAGAAACTTAAGTTTTAGTCAAAACCATATATTAGATCAGGAAGCTAGGGTTGAGGAGATGAGTTAGTCAGGAAAGGGTTTGCCACTCAAGCATGAAGACCTGAATTAAATCTTCAGCATTCCCATAACTAAGTTATTTAAACATCTGGGAGTCCTGGACAAGACTTGAATTCCGAACACGGTTGAGATGGAGTCAGGTGGGTCCTTTGGGTTTATTGGAAAGGTCTAGGTGGGAGATCATCTAAAACAGCAATTTTCAACCTATGGGTTGAGATCCCTTTGCAGTTTGAATGGCCCTACCACAGGTGTTGTATATGTGCATCTGAAAACACAGATATTTACATTATAATTCATAATAGTAGCAAAATTACAGTTAAGAAATTGCAGTGAAAATAATTTAATTGTTGGGCATCACCACAACATGAGACACTATATCAAAGGACTATAACATTAAGACAGTCGAGAACCACTGCTCTAAAAAGAAATTCAAGCATAGATGAGCATTTCCTTGGGGTTGACATCCATGTTAGTCCTCTCAAATCTACTCCTTATATACCTGTACTAATGTGCGTATGATCCTGTACACACACACACACACACACACACACACACACACACACATACACACACACACACACAATGGTAGAAGGAGAAGAAGAAGAAGAAGAAGAAGAAGAAGAAGAAGAAGAAGAAGAAGAAGCACTATCTGTGTTTGCTTCCAAAGTATGTGAACCATGTGTTTTGAACATGACAGAGCTCCTTGAGTACAGAGTAGAGTTCCTTTAAATACCTCTGACAACCCAAACACTTCATAATGAAAAAGTCAGGTGACAATGACTGAATATTGAATGTCAGCTTCTTTCCTCTTTGGTCTCCTATGATTCTTCCAAGTGAATTTTATTACAGCATTATAGAGAGCTACCAAAAAAAATCTACTTTATGTCCTGGATGAAGAACTAATCTCTGAACCACATGGGCCTCATTTTATTTAGTCCTGGTGCAGTAGCTGTTTGATGAAAGTTTTAAGAGGGAAATTCAGAACATCTTTGGAGAGGGATGTATTAGTTGCTTTTTTATATAGAAAAAAAGGGAACTTCAGGAAAGGTCTATTTGTCACACAGTCAAAAGTACAATCTATCATGGTAGGGAAGGTGTGGTGGCAGGAGCTTGAGACAACAGGTCATATTGTGTCCACCGGCATGAAGCAGAGAAAGATGAGTACTGATGCTCTGGTCAGTTTTTCCTTTTTATTCAATTTGGAAACCTAGTCTAGAAAATGCTTCTGTTCACATTTAAAATGGTCTTCCCATGTCAAATAACCCCGTCTAAACATTAGCTTCTACTAAATTATCAAATGAACAATCAAGAGAAGAGGTCTTGACTAATATAGGAGGGTTGTGAATATTTTCTTAGATTGTTATGTTACAAAAGGAAAGAGAGGGAGGGAGTGAAATCCTCTGATCATAGGGAATCAGATTTGTAGCAGGGGGTATTAAAGAGGAACGACCAGTAGGCTTCCTGGCTCTGCTGCCAACCAAGTTCCCACTGTAAGCCCAGTACCAGCTGGTCATCTCAGTCCTGCCAGCCTAGGGCCCCTGAGACATTGGCATGGTCTCTGCCTCTGCCCACTGCCAATATCTTGGTTAGATAACACAATACCCAGTAACCTGGTAAAATCAAAACTCTTAAAGCTTATAGCTAACCAATCATATTTATATATTAATAAAATCTCAATACACAAGATGCCCAAACAATTTAGACAAGTGATCCCAATTAACCTAATCTTTTGATATCCATAGCTACCTGAGACTACTTAAAGCCAGGCTGGTTTATATTTGCCTCCATTTTTGATTTCTTCTCCTGTGTCTTCCTCCCTCAGCAACTCTTAGCTCGGCCTTCCTTTTCCTTGTCCAATCACAGCCCTCCTGCTGCAAATAGACTGTGGAGAGAAATTCCTGCCACTTTTTACCCTTTCTGTAAGGACAAAATAACAAGATATTTTTCTCTCAAAAATATAGATTGACCACAGCTATCACCATTTTGTAATTTTTAAGGTATAAGATAGACCTACTACCCAGTCTAAAATTTTTGTTAATAAAAATGAACACTGTCCTCTATCCTAACTTAAAGACTATAGTTCTGTACCTGGCTTATGTCCTGGCTTCAGATTGAATGCCATCTGAAAAACATCCTTTCAAATCTGTTCTCTCAATGTAAATAGAGTAGGTTGACTATGACTGTAAGTCTTCAACCCCATCAGAAATTCAAGAACAACTGATATTAAATGAAATATATAGGAAGCCTAACACAGCTTCCAGAACTGAGACCAAATGTAGAGACATTTGCCTACCTATAGAGGCCTGTTAAGTCAGGAAGTTGGAGCATCAGTCTTCAGCCTTCTGGCCAAGGATCATCTGACAAACCTTTGACAAACAGGAATTATTAAGGACAAGCCTGTTCTGTCTCAACAGAACTAAGCTGATCTAAACTGTATTTTGTGTCCTTTTTCTGGACAGTATTTTGTCTGTAGATAAAATAAGGCAATTCTTGCCTAATATCTATCTCATCACTACTGGAGCAACTTCATTGGGGCTCAATTTCTTCTTTGAATCCAAGGAAGGGAAGCTGTTAGGAGCAGACTTGTCTCAATAACAAAAGAATAAATAACATTAAAATGTCATATTTTGTAGATTTATGTTGTTTTGAAAACCAGCTATCTATGTAAAGTAATCTGGACATTTGTTCAGTAACTACTCTCAGCTATTTCTAAACTAAATCTTGAAAATACCCTAACAATAAACTCAGAGCTGTGAATTTGCTATTCCCTTAATTTACAGGCTTAAATGTCTCAGATCAGATTAAAATAACAATTATCGAAGGACTGGATCTAAGTTTTGTACTTACAAAATATAGTATCAATAGAAGAAATTTATAATAATGAAACCCTTGATTTGTATCAAAATAAATTGTGTACCATTAAGAAATTATGACATCAACTTAGTAACAATTATAAAGATTTCTATCTATCAATGTTATGGTTATGCCATCATTTCTAGCTATTCCTCCCTGTTACAATTAAGACCATTTTTAAAGTCCCTAGAAAACAACCTATAATAAACCCCACCAGCCCCAAAACTCAGGGAACTGGGTCGACAAATCTTCAAAACTTCTTCAAACTGAATATGGGTGTTGAGATAGTTTAAGGGGCACAGGAATGGTAGGAAAAATAGTCTCTGATATCTGTGTCTTAACTGGATTCAGCTGAAGGTCCAGGATATCAGTAGTTGAAGCAGGCCATTTCAGCATGTGTGATGAGGAGATTCACCAAGGCTGTATACTCTGTAATATATAAATCTCAAAACAATATTTTAGCATCATCAGGATAATATTTTTTGTTTGATTCACTGGAATCTAGTCCTCTATAAGTCTCTCTTCATCATATCTGATCCATATTACA